AGCTATCCATTGTGATTTTTAGACAGCCTATAAGGACTCCGAGAATCAGTCATAAGAATTAGGCTGATTACCTATTTCAGAATATCAATGACAAGAAGATGTCGATCTTGCCGTTAAACCCTTGTGATCAGGTGGAGGTGGAGAAGAGAATATTCGGGGGTAAGGTCTTAGAAACCCTCGAACATGATGAAGGAGGGTTCAAGGTGGGAACAACCTTTCAATTGTTCCACCATCAAGCCAAGAACCCGATATCAACTAAGGCCTTACTTGTCGGGTACCTCATATTGTGGCTGAAAAGTTGTGTGGTTCCCACCCACTCTTTTGAGGTAATCCCGGTAAAGGTTGCCTATCCCACGGTCCGTTTGGCTTACAGACGATCTTATGCATTGGTGCCAGCCATGGTAGCGTGCATTCAAAGCGGGCTCCGTACGTTGACGACATAATTCTGCAAAGTGTCATACGTCGAAGAGGAGAGAGGAGAAGAAGTACCCAAAAACTCCTAATCCCTGTGTCAGCCTGCCGTACACATATCTAATGGCATGGTTCGTGCAGAACTGTGAGTGTTTAATGAGTGCATCAGCTGCACGTCAGGAAGGGAAGCTAATTCCCTTCGTTCAAAGGCTGGAGAATTCCTCATGGAAGTACAAGCAAATTGTTGATATGAGGAAAGCTTTTTTCCTTCTTCAGCAACTACAACTTCTATCGATGCTTCCCGTACTTCCCGAGCGGAAAATAAGACGAGTCACTTTGGGACGTGCCGTCAGGAGATAACCGCACCGCCTTATCTTTAGGTGGATTCCAATGGTTAGTCAACATTCGACTAGGCTATCACATCCTCCGGACGGGCTCAACTGCCACATGGACCCCTACCTCCCAATTGCTTTGCCCGTCAGTTCTGGTATGACCAATTGTACGTAGGGAATATCAACCCCCGGTTGAGTTTTGAAGGAGATTTGATCGATGGCGTGCAGGGTTGGTTCTGGACCCACACGGGATGCACTAGAGCATGCTTCAACCTGCCGCTCAGGGACCGCACATTCTGCCATATACTTACATATTGTAAGTGGTACCAGAGTGCAAGTTTAATTCCGGAGGGGTTCAATCCACATGAATCTTGTCTGACGGCGCAGAGGCATTGCTCGGGAGGAGTCCCTCGCACACCGAGGCGGGAAGAGCACGGAGCCGTAGTATCTGAAGAGGTTCCTCATGGAGACTCGAAAGCTTATGAGGAGCTCTACGACGGGTTAGGCGATTTCTCGGGCATGGAGTTTAAAGCCCCATACGATCTCACCCAGCTCCCCTCTTACAGAGATACTAAAACGATAGAGGAGTTGGCTCGAGCGGGGGCACACCTGGAGCAACTTAGGGGCCCTATTGCTAATCGTCTACGGATGCCGGCTTTTGCTCCCGATCTCCCAATTTTGTCAAAACGTCAAAGGGAGGCAAACGTTGGGACTTCTGATGAAGGGGTGGCTAAGAAGGCTCGCCACGATGGGGCGGCGACAATTAGCGAAATAGGGGAGGGTCACGCCATACCTGATCCTGAACCAAGATCGGGAGTGATTCCTCATATTGTCGTGACTCCCTTCGACCGTCGAGGCCAAAGATATTCAACCGATCATTCCGGAAGGTACAAATTCCTTTTATTCCTCCTTTAATCAAAAGACTGAATCCGATCGTCCTATGTTTGTTCCGACTTTATGAAGGGGCAACGGATGCTACTATCATCGTCTCTTCCGAAGACGAAGAGGGGGAGAAGGAGGACGTCGATCACGCTGGTGGCAGCGATGCCGACACAGATGGCGCCTTCCGGGATTACGAGGAGGATGGGTCGGCTCTTCCCCCTCGTGAACCGGTCTTGGAGGTTATGACTCCCATCTTAGGTATTTGAATTGTTAACTTTTGATTCAATGGATGTTATTTTAGTATACAGACTAACGCTTACTCCATCGATCTTGTTGCAGTCGGGATGACTCCCGGGGCTGTCGACCAATGGACCCATCTGCTGACATCTGTGCGTGCGAGGGTCACCGCCTCACCTCGTCCACATGGTAGTCGACAAGTGGACTCCCCTATCAAGCCCTCAGTTCCTGTTGAAGGGACAGTGGTTCGAGCAGAAGAGGCGCCGATTCTAGGAGAGGTGCTGGTTCAAGGAGAAGAGGCACCACTTCTAGGAGAGGCTTCCCTTTAGGAAGAGGAGGCATTGACTCGAGAAGAGGCTTCCCTTTATGAAGAGGAGGCGTTGATTCGAGAAGAGGCTTATTTTACAATGCCTATCACACAACGAAAGCAAACAGTTATTCTCAAACGTATTTTGATTACGTTTAAAGGAAATAGACAAATTCTTGATTCAACATGTCCAGTGAATTTCATATTATTGTATTTTTATGTTACTGTTGGAAAAACGATGCTAATTAATAGTGCAAGATTTGCATAAAAAAAAGAAAGAACAACAAATCGATACTGAAATGCTGTACACTGATTCAGGTGTAAAATGAGGAAAATGGAGCAATGGTTTTGGTATATATATCTAGATAAATAAACCACATCAACTTAAGACCTAAAACTAAGCAAATAAAGAAGGATTTTTACATCAAACAACCTTTACTTTTACCCAAATTGATACTTACCACCTTTAAAGTTTTTTTATGTAAACTACATTTACTTGCTTACATGTTTGCGATATCACACTTTTTTTACTGTCCTCCTACGAAAATTCAGATATTCCCATTTTACTTTCATATTCTTCCTTTCTACCCCTAACCTAGCTCTAGTCTCATCCATCCTCCTCTTCTACAAACCCTAGCCCTAACTCTAATCCATAGCCACGACCTCCCTCAAAACCTTAATTCCAACTCATGGCCGCCACCTCCCTCAAAGCCTAACCATAATCCTAGTTCCCACTTGGGAAGGAATGGGATACTGGAAGATCGGAGAGTAAGAGGGAGGACGACAAAGTGGGAGAGGGGAGTTGAGGGAGGAGGGAGAGGCAAGATGGGGAGAAGAGGAGGATGAGGAGGCTAGGGTTAAGGTTTGCGTTAGGGTTTGTGAGGAAGGAGAGGGAAAAACAAGAAAATTGCGAGGGTAAAATGGTCATTTTGCATATTTTTTGGCTAAAAACTGGATTAAGTGTGACATTACAAACATGTTAGCAAGTAAGTAAGGACGGTTTACATAAAAAAAGTTTAAAGATAGTAAGTATTAATTTGGGTAAAAGTAAATATAGTTTTGATGTAATAACCCAATAAAGAATGATGCAAAATTTTAAAAATTGTTCTCATTTTCGCTGTGATGAAGAAAACTGGGCGTTTTGGGCCCTTGTACTGATGTTTTTTCGTCTTTGCTCATCCCCATACAATCGCCATTCCATTTGAAAGAGAAGAGGCGAAACTGGTGAACCATGACCCTGTACCAAAATACTGCTCGAGTTGCAGAAAGAAGATCCAATACATCAACTGTAATGAAACAGAATTTATAAATTACAAACCTGAAGCTTATTTACAATTTAATATTTGGCTTAGTCAAATCATAGAACAAAATATTCAATTCCTTCCTACCATAAACTTCAAATTCAACAAAACCCGGTGACACTGCTCTGCTATAGTTAATCCAATAGAAAGATGTGGAAGAGAACAAAACTGACTTTGTGTTTTGGGTATTTATATAAAATCACTTTTAAGGAACCAAAAAAAAAATTGAAGAGAAATATTGTAATTCTTAAGGTTAGGGCAACATTATCTTTCCAAGTTTTATCTACTACTTATAAACTAATCTACTACTTATAAACTAAAGGAGAACAACAAAAAAGTTCTGATGAACAGTAAAATTTTTGAATATATATATATATTTTCCTATCATTTCCCCACAACCGACACGTTGCTTAATTTCCCCACACAAATTGGCCACGTTCCTCAACTCCCACGTTCCTCAACTGCCCCCACGACTACTTTCTTCATCCTCCAACCTCCCGAGAACAAAAAGCAAAATAACTCCATCTGTGATTTCAACCAGGATCCCTCTCCCTCTCTCCTCGCTTCCTTCTCCTTCACTGAGAGTGAACACAGAACAAAAAGCAAAAAAACTTCAACTGTGATTTCAACAAGAACGCCATCTTCCTCTGCGAGCTCCTCTGCGCTGAATTACCCTCCAAGGTTTCCTCTTTAATTTCTCGATTTTAGGTTTTCTTCACCATGGCAAGCTAGGGTTTTACTAAATTGATTGGCTATTTGGGATCGAACAGTCGAAATCCAAGGCTTTAGTTGTGTTTTCTAAATGTTATTGCTATATAAGTTTCTTTTTTATTATGAAAGTCTTTTTATAAAAATCGAGGGTTTGTGTTGAGACTTCGCCTGCTCAATTTTCTGCTGACGGCAAGCTTCAGATTCAAATGGACGGAGAGGAGTTGAGCGCTCAAGAGACTGCTCTCTACGATCGCCAGATCCGCGTCTGGGGCGTCGATGATCAAAAGAGGTACTTTGATTTTCGATTGTTTTGATTATATAGTGAAATTTTGTGATTTTGAGATTTCTTTGTTTTTTTTTTTTTTGGTTTTTGTTGATAATAGTGTATTGTAGTGGGTTTTAGTCCCACATTGCTTGGGAGAACAAACCTCACACTCCTCTACTTGTATAAATATATGTGCACACTCAATATTCAATTCAAGGGAAATTTACCCAAGATTCTCTCTCTCTCTTACTTTAACATGGTATCAGAGCTAGGGCTATTTCCCTTTCAATAAAATTTTTAACGCTTTTGCGTTCTTTTGCCAAATCTTGGCCTTATTGCTTTGCAGCCGTTTAATGTTTTATTTTTTTTTATTTTTATTTTTAATTATTTGGCGTTCATCTGCCAGATATTTTGGCCTTGTCGTTTTGCGGCCTCTTAACGCGTTTCGCGTTCTCGTTTAACCTTCGGGTTCTATTTTAAACCTTCGGGTTTCATTCTAACCTTCGGGTTCTATTTTAAACCTTCGGGTTTCATTCTAACCTTCGGGTATCCCTCCCGCTTCGGTTAAAGATGAAGGAAGTTCCCTTGCTGAACTTTGTTGTGATTCTCTCAAGGAGTTCAACCCGATGTTCGTGTTTCAGTTGAAAGAGGTACATTTTCCTGTACATTTTCAGCAGTTGAATATCATTATGAAAAAATATGATTTAGAATATAAATAAGTATATGAGGAAACCTTTGTTGTTTTGTAGGTGACTTGACAACAGCTTGATGACGAAATTTTTGGACAAGTTTGATATTGTAGTTGTTAGTTGTTGCCCATTTAACAATAAAGTACCGAATCTGTCTTTTTTATGGAATTGAACTAGCAGAACTTAATTATGAGAATTTATTTGTTACATTCTCTTAGATAATAATATCTTTTGACAAAAGCAAACAAATTTTTTCCCCAATGGTTAAGGTTGGAGTTTCTCAATATGCTGAAGAAACCAATTTGTCAACAGCCACTTAAACTGTTTGAATCTACTAAATATAAAGCGAATATTGCAACTGCTAAATTCATTGGTATAATAAGCTATAACTTGCAGGAATAAGCGTCCTGACGATGAATCGCCAGTTGAAACTTTTTCATATACACTATTATTCCTCAAAATAGATAACTTGAGGGGAAGGATTCATAAGGTAATTTTGTAGGTTCATGTATTAGTTAAAAGAAGAGTGGGTTTCATTACAATTTTACTTCTTAGTTTCGATATTAGTCCTTTAAATATTTCTTTTTTTGAATTAGTCCTTTATATTGTTAAAACTACTATTAGGTCCCCAAATTTGCAGAAATTTTTTTAGAAACCGTGCTTTGCACGGGTCTAAATACTAGTTTTTAAGAAATAACCAAACAAAAGAAAACAACCTATTACAAGAAATAGGTTTCTTATAATTCATTTCCTTTTTTTTTTCGCCAACCAAGAAATCTCAAAACAAGTTTTCTTAAAAAAACACTCACATCATCCTATAATAAGATGACAACTCATCTCATCTTATCTTCATTTCTTTGATTTCCTTCTTTTTTTAGCAAACCAAACACTCCCAAAACAATTCTTCTTAAAAATAGTTTTCTATTTTTTTGATTTCCCATTTTTTTAAGGCAAACGAACAGACCCTTATAAGAACAGGCTTTAGCACATCAAAGACTATTTTCTTTTACTAAGTTTTCTCCGAGTCTTTTACAAATCCATAGAACAGTGACAATGAAGACTCGTGGAAAAGATCAAAACTGAAAAAAGATAATTAAAAATCGTTAAGATTGAAAACGCTTAGTCATCAAATGGTAAAAATGAGAACGAAAAGTATAAAGTAATAACTTCAGTCTCGGGGTGGGGGGTGCGGCTAGCCAAAAATTCAAGAGAATAGAAAAGTTGAAAAAGAAGATTTTTTTTCTACTCACTTAATCTTTGATACGTTGAAATTAGTAACCCAGATCATTGAAATTATTATTGATCCCCAAATTCTTATATCATGCTACTGCTATTTAATTAGAGATTAATTTGAAATAATCTATGATAATGGGGGATCTAACAGTAATTTCAATTATTTGAGGGTCTAATCTTAAAATAATAAAGATTTGGGGGACTAATATTGAGAAAATACAATAAAAGAAAGAAATACTGAACTTTTAACAATAAAATTCATCGCATCAAATATCCAATATACCTCATCCAAGGGCATTGTCGACAATTCAACATTCTTCGACATACGAAGCTTCCACTCTTTTCCTCCTCGATGATCACCTCCGTCTCATTGATGAGATTTTCCGACTTCAAGCTGAACGCCACAAGAGGCTGCTGATGTGGCTCTGGGGTCAGGTCTAGGTGTTGAGTGCTCGGATTATGTTCTCATAATAGTCACAGCATTTGATTGCTGGAACATATTCCTGGTAGCCTTCATTTGCTGCTCCAGTACCACAATTCTCGGGTTGAATCGCCTCATTTGTTGCTCCAGCATCACAATGCTAAGGATTAATCACCTCATGTGTTTCTCCAGCTTCACGAGTCTTGGGTTTAGTGCCTCGCTTGTTGCTCCATCTCCAGAACTCTGGGGTTTAATCATCTCATGTGTTGCTTCTGCTTCACTATCCTGGTGTTTAATCGCCTCGCTTGTTGCTCGACCTTCACAGTTCCGGGACTCAATGCGATTAAACTGTGGAGTTGCAAGAGGTACTGAGCCCAATAAATTTATTGCGTCAGTAACAAAGGTTTAGGACTTCATAACAAACCGGAAGGCACAGGACTAGCCAATGAGGCCTATCGATTACAGTCAACTTACAGGACGCAAGGGAAGACCCAGTGGACTTAAGACACAATTTGGGATTAGGATGATGAAACTCGCACCAAACTTACAGTCTCCAGGCTTCATGTAGTAGTGGAATTCAGGTTCGTCAAGCCTCAGGAAAGATATTCTCCCTCCGCAGGTATCTAACAAGTGATAACCTCGCTGCTGCAGTTATGTCAATTCCCCAGCAATGACTGTTGTCACCACCCCTCAGAAATTTTAGATATCCCCTTCATCTTACTAGTCTTTTTCATGATAGTTTTCTAGTTTAAGATATCTCCTCCATCCTACTTGTCACCTGCCCAACCTTTTCCCCTTCAATCCCAGACTCCCTTGGTCTCCTTCGGTTGTCCTCTTCTGCAAGAAAATTACAGTTCACTGGCAGAATAATCTCATCCATGATCGCCAATCACCACAAGAGCTCAATTGGGGGTCACTTAGCAGCCAAATCAATACCCGAAATCCTGAAACACCTGGAGAAAAGCCCAATCCACCCTTCAGAATAGTCTCCTTCGCATGCGACCTCATGAGCGATCAAAAAGAGCAAGCCATAAACGATGCACACACATTACCAAAAGTGTCCCTTTGACCGTCTGAGCTTGTGCTTCTTGTATGCTGTTGCAAGTAAAGCATGCATTCCTGTCAGACAATGTTCTGACGTTGCAGCATGCAGTTCGGGTCTCAACCGATTGACCAGTTTCACCTATACAGGTCATTGGCAGTGCATAATTAATAAAATTAGAAGCGCACACGTCTTAGATTGCAAACCAAAACTAATGTGCTTGCCTGGGGTCCGTATAGCTGGAAGGTACTGGCAGGGATCATCAGCCTCTCTTTTGTCCAGCTGTTACAAATTAAGGAACAAATAACTTAACATGGTCTAGAAACATGTCAATTGGAACATATATGAAGGTATATCTTACTCCATCGAAAAGAGACTGGAAGCTCATACCTGCAAGGATTCAAAGACAAGGTCAGCTTGTATAAAGCCTTCACCAATGCTTCCTTAGGAATGTTTAATGATCAATTAAATTCTTGCTGGCTTGTTTTTCTTATAAACAACAACTAGCAAGGATAATAACGTAACAACATACACTAGATTTGATCTACCTCCAGATCATTCATGCAGGGACCCAGCTAGTACAATATGGTAACAAGCACCTTAACATGCACTATTTCATAACTTAAACTAGGAATCAATAAATATTTAATAAATAATTTCCATTTAAATATAAAAAAACACAGCATCCGACAAAACAGAGGTAATGAATGAGAACTAGAATACGCTATTCTCTTTGCTTTAGTTAATTATGATAAACTAATGGTTCAGCTATGGTCAAAAGAAAAGAACCACGATCCATGCTCCAGCGCTCTCATCTCATCTTCTATAGCTTTTCACTAACTTGATTTGACAATGCTTTTGACAGACTTAGGAACAGGATTAGAGTGGGTAAAAGAGATAAAAGGATGATATTGTGTTGAGAGATGAGCGTAAGACAGGAAATCAAATAAAAGACAAGGACAGGAGGTACAGCTATGTTTCCCTTTGCATAGCGCTCTGTGATGGTCAAGATCAAACTTGAAATCAGTTTCAACAGATGTAATATGCTCACTAGAAATAGTAGTATTCCCAATTGCCTACCTATCTGGAACTTGAGCACTAAGAACACTAGTTATAGTTGAACCTTTAGGACATGAATAACTTTTTAGTTGCCCTCCAAATCTCTAGAAGAAGATTATGGGTTTGTGTGATAGTACATGATATCAGGTGAAGAAAGCATGTTTTTTTTAATGGAAAATAAGGTCGAGAAAACATAAAACTCTAATATCATGTTATGTTGGAGAATTGACTTGGTCCCTGAAAGACATAGACAAGTTATATTTATATTTACAGTAAAGCAAATAAACTGCTATTACATAATCCTTCAGCGTTGGACTAGACTGTCTTAGAATCCCAAAACCCCCGCAATCTCATCACCGCCTCTCATATGAGAATAAAACATTTTTACACATAAGACACACTTAAGTGGCACAGTACATCTGTATTATTCGCATAGCTCAGGATTTGGGAGATGTGTGGAAAGAATAGTATGAAAATCAAAAGCAAAAACATTATATTGGGATATTTTTCAGTTATAACGTTACAGATAACAATAAGATAACCCCCTTAGCCAATGCAAAACTTGGAACCATCACATTTTCTGAAGTAGATCAAACTACAAGCATCTGAAAAAAAAAATTATTTTAATATTTTGACTGCTCCATATAATAAGAAAACTCTGCAATGCCAACAACATCACAAGTAAAGGCTTATTTGGCACTCAGGTCCCTTAATTCCGAAAAAAACAACATCCTCTGAACAATCAACAATTCCACTGAATTAAGACCATCACAATGGTAGAACTCTTATAGAATAGGTACATGCAGCTCACATGTAAAACAGTAAAAGGCAAGATGATAAATACGAAAAACTAGAAAAAGTCACAAAAAATTTTAGATATACAAGAAACTTCCATTGACATGTAAGTTTTTGCTAAATACCAATGTAGAAATGCATTAAAAAACGTAAATATTATCCAATCTCTCACTTTCCACTGTTCAGCCCATTTCATCAAGCTACGGTATCTCTGGTGTGTCTCTCCTCTCAGTACACCTAGGGAATCATATCCAGCAACTTACTCAAGCTTTTATCGTCATTGGGGTCATGATCTATTTCTAGATGAGAAGACACTAGACCATGACGCAAAATAAAAAAAAATTAAGCGGAAATTTTCTACACTCAGAAACTATTTATTCCCATTATCATCGACTTAACTTTTACAGCATGCTGCATGAATCAAACCTTTTCATGATAAACCATATCAATTTGGTAAAATCTATAAAGCACATGTATTTTAAAGCAAGTCTTTTGTCCATGTTTGATACATGTCCGAGCATCAGCACTTGTATGCGACTTTCCAGACATGCATCAGAGACATTGAAGCTATGCCAAATCCAAAGAACAAAAACTTGCATGTCAGTTCGCTTTAAACTTTTAAAGATTTTACCAGCTGCATTAAAAAAAAGATGTTTGGTTCATAAAAATGTAAAGCAATATATGCCAAAGTTTACATAGGCTAGATGTGAAAAAAAAAGATGTTTGGTTCATAAAAATGTAAAGCAATATATGCCAAAGTTTACATAGGCTAGATGTGATTTTAGTACAACTTTAACATGGTCCAAACTTGTGAGACACATATGCCTTTACTAGACTGGGCTCTACCAAGATATACAATAGTGTTGTGTCGCACCCTACTACTCATATCAAAAGGTGTGTAGCTCACCAATTTTATCTTTTGATAGCTCTTTATGTTAAATGAGGTGGTAGCTCATATCCAATATCTGATATCATACATATAAGGCCTGCCTCCATGGGCGTTATCGTATCTTTATATAATTCTTCTAAGGAATTTGACATGTAGCTGTCGTATTCTATTTATATCCTTTGTCAGAGTTTATGCTTTCTCGCATATAAAAATATATGACTTGACATTTATCATCGATTCAGCGTCACATCCTTCCTGTTGTGGATCAATAGAAGAAAACATTCACGTAAAGGCAGGAGTTAATGTATAAAAGGTGTTTTTGCTAATCAAAGAAGATTTTGGAGAAAACTCTCGACCTTCACATACTTCCTTTTCCAGTATAGGGATGTGAATCACATTACTCCATCCCCAAGCTAGAAGCATACTGTTGTAGATCTAAGAAAGAAGAGTATTTTGCAAGTTCATTCTTAATGGGAAGCTATCACAACCGCCATGCTCATATACATACTATAATATTATCTTGAGATTGGAAGTAAATGTCATACACTATGTGATTGATTTACCTTGATCATTGATGAACTGTGGCTATTTAAGAAAAGTCACGTAAAATCTTATTACTTAATTTTAAAAAGAATGAGCAGCCCAAATTATGGCAATATATCTTAGCTATCCATAATAAGAATATTTATTGGATTAATTGTTATTAGATAATCCAATGTCACCTTTCAAAGGAATATCCTTTAGGTTTTTTGACAAACAAATATCCCAAATTTTATCAGAAAGATCTAGCAAAGCTAAGTTTAACGAATGGAAAACAACTATTTTACCCATTCATATTCTCCCCACCAAGCCCCTCTCTAGTAAGCTAGTAGCAACTCCTCTAACCTCTATCTTAACTCGATAATTTCCTCCTCTTTTCTCACCATCTCGGTACCCTCGGTTTTCTGCCTTTACTTCCAATTTAGAATTTTTTTTAGTGATTTTTTAGATGAGTGCAAAAAATTGCTGATTTTTTCTACATTACATAGTTTTAAGTTTTTTGTTAATTTTTTCTGAGGTAAAAATAAGGCAAGATGGCATATTGAAAAGTATATTTAATATTTATTGAGAACAAAAAATCATTATTGTATCTCACATCTATCTGAATTAGAGAAAACCAAACCCGGACTCTTACAAGGATAAGGAGCGAACAAAGTCATCATTTATCGCCTAAGTTACCTGGACACATCATCTCAACTCTCTGTCCATCTCAACTCTCATATCCGTGTCCGACACTCCTCGTATCCGCGTCAGTGTCCAATAGTTTGTGGACAATTCTTGAATATATGCATTTATTTACAAACATGTACTCAATCAAATATATAATAAATGTTCAGTTTTAAACACTTGTGATACACTTTGTGGACGCATATCTCACACTTGACCTCAATTATGCAATTCGTTGAACTTGCACCGGGTTTGTTTGAAACCATACTCAGTTCATAAGTATGATTTTAAAGGGCCACTTTGATTTTTAGTTCAATAACAAGTGATTTTTCAAATTTATACTCTACTTACTAAAAGAAACATAAAAATTTCATAGGAATTTAATTTCTCTTAGTATGTGAATGAAAATAATAATATCAATCTTATATAAATCACTAATTTCAAAACGCGTATATATAGTCGTGCTCTATTTCATATCTTTTACTAATTTATTGTGTCTTGTATCCCCACCTGTGTCCGCGTCCCGACCTGTGCAATATAGTGTATTGCATTACATAGGTTTAAAGGGTTTATTTTCCTCTAACAAGAAGTCAGAATACAACAATGATAACAATAAACCAAAATGTAAATCATGGACTAATAGACCCAGCTCCAAGCTAAAAAAATATTTAAGCGTCTCAAATTTAACGGAGGAGATGGTCATTATAGAATGGAAGAATAATATTCATTTAGCCGACCTCAAACATTGGGATAAATGCTCTATTATTGTTGCCTTTGTCATCGTCTCAATAATATTGTTACAAAAAAAGAACAAGAGAGCACATAAGCTTAGAAGTTATCCCCCACCAAATCATCACTTTAAAGAAGATTGTTGAAACCCCTCTCTTTCGCGATCTCCTTTAGCACAGTTGTCCTCATTCTGCTTGAACTCAATGCCTAAAACTTTACAAAGTAGGCAATATAAGAAGCCAACTTCTGTGGTGGAGTGTTTGGCTCATTAAAAATAAAATTCTTCCAAGCCCGCCTTAAGGCACTAACAGAATGCAGGAGAAAAGACTATCCAGAGCTTATGAGTATTGGTATTGGTTACAAATTATCCATTAAAATCAATTACATCTCGAAGAGAAGATGACTAATGATCAATAATCAACAACTTATCTTTCTAAAATTTCCAGCTTCAAGAGAATATTAGCAAGAAAGAATAAATGTTCATCAGATTCTACATGTGACTTGCAAAGAAAGCAACAGGGTCCCCACTCCAACCCTTTTTAATTAGATTTTCCTTGGTCCGTGATCTCCTCCTCTTTGAGTAGATATAAAAGAAGATTTAACTTTATTTAGAGTGATAGAATTCCAAATAAAATTGAAGTTTTTACTGATAATGCCTCCATCATTTATTAGACTATAGATGGTTTCGTAGAAAATTTTCTAGAGTAATAAGACCATTAGACCTAATCTTTATAGGAGAAGGGTGATGGTGAAAATAGTTTTTTTGATTTTTTGAATATGGATTTCGTTAAATTACCTAGTTCTAGGAAATTGTTTTGAAAAGAAGGTACGGTTAAGGTACACCAATACAAGAGGAGTTTTGAGTTTCAAGTAATAACAGTGGAGTTGAAAGAGGAAGATGAGATGCATGGAAGATTTTTTTCAATAAGAGAAAACATTGAAAAACTGCCAAGTAAATGTCATGCAATGATGTTTTAACAAATTCTTTAAAGAAAAGTTAGCAGGATGATATTAATCTCTAAACACCATAAAATTTGAGAAATTAATCTACCAAAAAATATATTAGATATTTATTTGAGAAAGTGGTAAAACTTTAGGATAATTTAGAAAAAGGAAACGTTTAAATGTTTAGTTATCATAACTAAAATGGGTACTCTTTTTGTTGACAAACAATATTTGTCATTATATTTAAATGATTCTATTTTAATGATTTATTATGCTCCATCGCTGTCAACCCATCCTTCCAAGTACCACTATAGGTGTTCAAGGGCGCTTCAAGAAGAAATAAAGAAAAAAAAATACATAGTTCTCAAAAATAAAAAACCACTAAGAAAGAAAATGCCAATATGGAAGAAGTAAATTTGGACGTGGAAATCAAGAAACAAGAAGCATTACTATTTGCCATTATCACATTACACATACAAAATGTATGCTATGTATAAAGGTTCTCATGCCTTGCTTAATATAAGAAACAACTGCATTTTCTTTCTTTCCTCAAACATGTTCCTCATAATACTCCTCCAAATTTGACATGACATTGGAGCAGGTTTTCCAAAGAAGAAAGCTGATTTATGTTTTGTCTGATCGTTTTGGCTTTCTCCCATGTCTGGTTGTTTTATGATGAGCTTTTGCTCTCACTTTTCAATCTTTTGTCGGTCTTCTTCTCAATATGAATTCTAGGAATATTTGCATTAGTGGAAAGTTAAAGGTTACTCATATTGAGGATAAAATGAAAAAGAATCGGTTGAGATGGTTTGTTTGTGAGCAATGTAAGCCCCTAAAATGCAACAGTTAGGACAAGTGATATCGATATGAATAATTCAAGAAGAGACAACCTCAGGATCAATAAACTAATCCATTTTTCAATGCCCTAAACATAGCACGAAATTGAATAATCATCCATTCCAAGTGAGCTACAGCCCTACCATCATAGTATCAAAGTTATTGATAGTGGATAGGGTCGCGTAGCGGTGAGGCATCACTACTATTTAGGATTATTACGGCAAAATAACGGTAAAAATCGCAAAGTCAAATAGCGAACTAATTTAGATATGTATAAATAATAAAAAAAAGAATGATTAAAAAAAATCTAAAAGTACATATTTGATGATTTAAAGAGATCCTAAACATGACATAGACATGTAACCATCACGTAAAGATGACTGGAGGAGTCAAAGAGTCGTCTTCGAGAAGAAGCGCTGAGTGGTGAGAGGACTGCCTTAAGAGGAGCTCACGGTGAAGGAGGTGAGAGGAAGTACTGAGGTAGATGTCAGAGGCTATGAGAGGTGGCTAGAGTATGCCGAAAATCACAGGAGACTGTGGAATGCAATGGTCAATGGTCGGTTTAATTTTTTAAAAATAAACCTCAAACCACTTTTAAATAGCAGTTTGAGGCAATGTTTGTGAGCAATGTAAGCCCCTCAAATGCAATAGTTAGGGCAAGTGATATCGATATGAATAATTCAGGGAGAGACAACCTCAAGATCAATAAACTAATCCATTTTTCAATGCCCTAAATATGGCACGAAATTGAATAATCATCCATTCCAAGTGAGCTACAGCCCTACCATCATAGTAATACTACGCATAATAAACTATCCTCATCCATATGAGCAAAAATTACTCCAAAGAATACTTCCCAAATAAGAAACCATATTCATTAGATCATTAGAAAATCAAATTCACACCAGACTTTGTAAGCTACTTGGCTTATCTAATTGACCATCAATTTAAAAACATAGAACAAAGCTGAATGCCAGCTTTATAATGCATAATGCAAGAGTTATAAATGAAAATGCAACAAATAGTATATCACCACATAAAGCCAATAATTCATGCATGCGTTAAGAAAATAAATAAAATACACTAAAATACAACCTCTCGCTTTGACACATACTCTTAAAGAGATCCTACACTAGCTGTAAATGCCGATCATTACATTTTATGAGGAATAGATGCTCTTTAAAGAAAGCACAGAGACAATCACAACACATCAAATTAATAAGCACAAACTCATAACTGTAGCCACAAACAACTGCTAAAACTAATTAACAACATCAATTATATACGGAGGGACATAGCCCAGGAAGTCAAGAAGGCATGTAAATTTTACCAGCTTCATGATATAGTAAGCATAGTTTGAACTCCAAGATAAGTTTCGGGCTCCATCTCCCTTAAATTCATTTGCCATATCACCTCTGCAACATAGGCACATACAGAAAATGAAAAATGAGTAACATTTATTATGCAAGCAGTAAATACTACTTAGATACTAGTCATGAGCTATATGGGCTAAACATTCCAAATTAGAAAAGAAACCTCTACAAGATAATAAATAACGGAGTCATATAATCCATGAAATTAGTTAATTGCAAGACAATGATGTCAACAAGAAGACAGAATGGAATAAAAAATATTCTATGTTGCATGGGTATAGGTACGGGCATTGTTATAAATAACCGTAAATAGCGTTGCAATAGCAGCGTTAATAGCGTTAGTAGTCCCTTCCCGCTACGCTATCGCCCAATAGTGATAACCTAAGTGCGGAATATGCGTTTTTCGCTTGCAAAAGCGGCCAACAGCGTGTCAAAGCGGTGAATAGCGGACGCGTGCAGGCAAAATCCACTTTTTACCCCTATTTAAAAGCGGTTTGAGGTTTATTTTTTTAAAATTAAACCTGACCCACAACCACTGCATCACCTACCGCGATTTTCGGCATATTCCCGTCGGCTTCTGCAACCTCCGGCACCTCCCTCAGCACTTCTTCTCACCTCCTCTCATCGTGATTCCTTCTATTGCAGTCCTCTCACCGCTCAATTCATCTTCGCCAAGACGACGAGTCTTTCACTCCTCTAGTAATCTTCGGTATTATGTGACGGTTACATGTCTATTTCATGTTTAGGATCTCTTCAAATCATCAAATATGCACTTTTACATTTTCTAATTTTTCTTTGTTTTTGATTATTTATACATATCAAAACTAGACTGCTATTTAGATTTGCGTTTTTTACCGTTATTTTGCTGCAATATCCCCAAATAGCCTTAACAATACCTCAATGCTATGTGATGCTATCCGCTATCAATACCCTTGGGTACGGGTATGGGACAAGACAAGTTTATAAGAGGTAGGTACGAGGACACGGCTATGTACATATTTACATAAACATATATTATATATTGGAATTAATAATTTATATGAGAACAAGCACGGCTATATAAATATCTACATAAACATATATTATATATTGGAATAAATAATTTCTATGAGAACAAGGATGAGAATTAAAATTCCTATAATATTTTTATGTTTCATTTATTAAGTGGATTATAAATTGAAAAATCGTTAGTTTTTGAACTAGACATCCACACGTCCCTTTCAAAATCAAAATTCGGAACGTGACTTAAGCCCAATTATTTTTAAGAAGTCGATGTGAAGTGTAGGATATATGCCTCAAAAGTGTATGGCTAGTAGTTAAAATTGAAACATGCACTGTGTAAGGGAATACATGTCTGAATAAATATATGCATATATGCAAGGGGTGTCCAAAGAGTTTTGGTACGGGTGCGAGTATGGCTTCATACTAGAAGTACATAAGTAACATAGAAAATATTTAAAGAATAAAATAACCATATCACTATTTTAGATACTAAAGGTATGTAAAAAAAATCCTCCCTTTAGCTAGAAAATAATAAAATTTCATACTGAAACATTAGCGCTGGTAAAAAAAATTTCATTTTGGCATTAGATATAATAAAAAGTAATCATCAAATCTGTAGCAGTTTTCCTAAGACGGAAAGGAACTTATGGTAATTAAGATGGAAGTCAATAGTTAAAGAAGCCAAAAAAAAAATTGTACTATTATTAAAGAGGGGCTATTTACATATTAGTCCCTAAGATCTTCAATGTTCCCTCATTAGTCTCTTAAATCTTTGAAATTGTGCGCACATCCCTCAACTCATAAAGCGTTATGCAATTAGGTCCTTAATGACCAAAATACCCTTCAACTAATGGTTTTTAACAAGAGGGGCTCCAAGGAGAACATGAAGTGAGGGGCATTTTGGTCATTAAGGGACCAAATTAAAACACCCCTTGGGATTTGAGGGACTATTGCGGTCTTATTGAAGATACGAGAGACTAACAGCTAAAATAATCAATTTCTACATATAGCTGAACTTAAAAATAAAATGAGGGAAACGAATTAAACAAGCAAATCCAATGAAAAGAAGCCATATATTGAAGTAACATCAAATCAAATCATCAGCACAAAAGTTCATATATCAATCATCACCCAAACGTTGCCAGAACTGAAAGGAAGTCCAATTTTAGAATGACAGTCCCTACCACTAGAATAAAACAGAAGGCTTTTCACCAAAAGATCCCAAATCTAAGAGCAAAATAAATATATAAATAAAAACTATATTCCCAAATAAAATTAGCATGAGCAAATAAAATTAGCATGAGCAAATAAAACTATATTCCCAAATCGAAAAATCTAAGTTCTTTCACCTTCATTAGTCTCAAAAGCAATGGACGACCGCGATCCTTCGCTCACGACCGCCGCCCTGTCGCCGTGAGGATCCATCACTGGACCTCCGCCGGCGGTCCCCATTACGGAGGCTACGAGTGCACAGAGAGAGAGAGAGAGAGAGAGAGTAAAGCAGAGGAGAGAGGAAGTGAGGAGAGATGATGAGAGAGTTTTATGGAGAAAACAGAAGAGAAGAAGGGCATTCCACAATTCAAAATTCTTGAAGAATGAGGGTAGAATAAAAGGAGTACCTTTTGGTTTGGTGTACAACTTTGCAATTAGGTCCCTTTAAATTGTAAATATGAGATTACTAGAGTTCTGAAAACAAATAGGGAATATTACTGAGGTATGACGACAGAAAGGGTTGTATATGAAAAATGTCCTGAAAAAACCAGAGCCCGGAAGACGACCCTTTTCTTGTCTTCTTTCTCACACTAGTTAATTCACCTACAGCTCTGCTCCCTCGCATTGGCTCGGAAGAACAACATATAACATACCGGACTCGTCGGGCACGTGAGCTCAAGCACGGGCAGTTGACGTCCCCCTTGGGGCCGCGTTGCCACGTGTCTGGGGAGCTTCCGGCTCTCTTCCAGCTGGCTCAACCAATTCTTCCAGGAAATGTTGGACCCACGTCAAGATGTAGATGAATTATTAATGTTTAAAATCCACTTTGGAGAAAAAACGGTTTCCCTCGTGAAATCAATAGTCCGCCCCGTTTCCTTTACTTCGGTCCGGTGTCAACCACAGTTTAGCTGACCCATAGGACAGGGTTTTGTCTAGAACAACCTTAATAACTGGTTAATTATATAGGAACCATCTTTTATTTTCAATTTATATCTACATCAACTTACGGGATTAGGTCTATTAGACTGTGCGTAGAGGGCCCTCGACCAGCTTTGATGACGGAAGTAGGTCTTCGTGTCTAGGTGCAATTGAGTCTGTTAAGTTTAGCCTGAGATCACAGAAAAGCGTCAGGTTGACGATGGTGGGCTACCACCAATGCCCCTGTGATGCCTAAGTCAGATACTTGATGAAAAGATCACAAGAAGTAGGTAAATAGGCTAGGTTTTAGAGAGAGATGATCATTAACCTAGGTTGGCAGTCACAAGTATAGGTCAAAGGTCCATCATCTTAAGTTATCTTACCTTGGGTGGGAGGGTTATTCATACTGATTATGTAGGGCAGATCAACCTCTACATCTGTCACCATTCTGACGGCTGAGTGGCGTACACTTGGACCTTAAGGTAATTACTTGGCCTGCAATGTATTCACCTGGGCGGCAAGTGTTACCATTCAAGACTCGAGTATCGACGCCCTCACGTTGAGATGACGAGTAGGTTGATGTATATTCTCTAGAGTTAGCTCCTTCTCATATCAGGGGCCAACTTTGGGAGATCCTATCAGCAACATCCTCAATCTGTCCCATCTCTTAGAATCAATCTCGTCGACATGGTGAGGATACGGACATCCATACTCCTCAAAGGGAGACACCCACCTCCTCTGCGGTCAGCTCCTTCCCCTGGCGGTGGGTCAACTCAGCGTGAGCATCTGGAGCATTTTCGCCTCCTATAGGGACCTTTGTCTCCACCAGAATGTTACCTCCCCCCAAAGCCTCGGCCTTGGCCTCGACCCTCCGAAGGTCGACCCCCTCTTCCCGTATTGGGGACCTATCATCAACCTAGATGACTCCAGACTCCACCTCAACTACCCTTCTGGGCCCCTAGCCGCCCCTAGCCGCTAATTTTCCTTAGCTTCTTCCTTTTCTCGACCCGACCGGTCGCAGGTGATAGCCCCGCCAACTTAGCAGCCACATCAGCCACCTGAGCATGAACTACCGCAACCTCCTCGGGGCCAGATCCTAACGAGGATGTTTCGCTAGCCTTATTGAGAACCGTTCATGGGCTCTAGTGTTAGATATAGGTGCCCTGCAGTCAATAATTGTATATTATAACAGGACCTATATGAATATAACATCCTTGTTCAAAATGATAGTATGCTATTTTGGCCAGATTTCTCTGGTATTTTGATACAGATAAAGTCCTTAGAATGATACTAGACTATCAGACATTTCAGATATGATTGTAATGAAGAGATCTGATTTGTCGCTAACGTATATTCTAAAATGTTCCTAGTCGATGAAGTGTTGTAATAGGACATCATCACTTTGGGAAGACTAGTGTATACTCTATTTCTCCTTTGGTAGGATGGTGATCCATCTCTTAGATTATTGATGTGAGACATCAAGATATAGTATACAGGTGACTCATTAGTGAATGAGTTGACTGAATGACTCACTGAGAATATCTAGTTAGTAATTATACTTAACTGTCAAATAGAAGCTCTCAAGTGATATAGTACATAGTAGTCTCTTGACCTGAGGCATGAGTGTAATATCTTACATGTCAGTATAGGTGTACTTAGACTTTTACCTAACCATAGTTCTCATTGAGTTGTGCATAACGTTTCTTGTTGGGTGCATCCCGATACATAAGTAGATATTGAGATGCCAGGATGGGATTCATCTCTCCCAGTATAAGGAGTTGATGTCATAAGATTGTTTGATATAACTATAGCCAGGAAATCCTTGGCCGAGGTAAATAAGATAAACTGAGTGTCAGTTTGATCTTATAGGTTATGAGTTTAATATCAACAAACACTAATCGAGCTATTAGGGTTTGACAGTTTTCCATACCCTAGGCTCGATAGTTTGACATGGTTTGACGAAGAGACCAGACTGTACAATATTATCATTGAGTGGTCCTGATAAAATTGTGTTAGCATCTTACAGATATTTATCATAACTTATACTTGGCTAGTCTTCATGTATAGCTAGCACCTCTGTTAAACTTGTGGATATCATCCACTGCCGAGTTCTTAAGTTGGGCCCTAGAGTCACACCAAGTGCGTACTTGAATCCTATAAAACACAATTTATAGAGTAATGCGTATGATTGATACGCATATATGATTTTACCGGATACACATAAACGGTTATGTATATCGGTAAAATCGAAGTGCTATGTGCTTAGGAAATAAATTCTAGTATTTTTCTCATAAAGTTAACTTTTAGTCAACTAGTTGACTTTTTGGTCAATAGTTGACTTTTTGGTCAATAGTTGACTTTTGGTCAACTCATTGACTTTTTGGTCACATGATGACTTATTAGTCAGTGATTAGAAAATTACGAAATATCGTATTTATGAAATACCGTATTGATGTGGTATTTTTATTTATGAAATACACACTTTATTATACCTTGATTAATGAGCCATGAGATGAGTCATTAAGGTGGTATGGTTTGGGAACATGGTTTTAGCACATAGTTTTGATTCTTCATGACTCTTTGCATGACTCATGAGATGAGTCATTGCATGAATCATGAAAGGAATCATTACATTTAGATGATTCATGGTATGACTCATGAGATGAGTCATGACATATCTCACTCTATATATATGAGCTCTCTCTCTCTCTCTCTCTCTCTTATGGAAAGGTTAATGAAAAATTGGCTAAGTGGTTTTTTTTCCATAAAATAATAAAAAAAAGAGCTCTACCTCTTACTGAACTCTAGTAATCTTTGAGTAAGAGTAAGTAGTAGGATTTTATAGTACCCCGGGGTGGATATCTTACCTTGTGTCTCAAGAAGACTCCGATTTTATCAAGCTCACTTGAAGACTTGGAGATCCACTACAAGGAGGTTTACAACAACAAGGAGCAAGAGCTAGGGGTTGTTCAATCTTTCACCGAATCACGCTTCGAAAGTATGACTTTCTAATTCTTATATGCTCTCTTTAATATAGGGATCATGTTAGATTTAATTAGGATAGTCCTAGCTTGTTTTTCATGCTCTCTACATGCTTAGTATTATTATACATAAAGTAATCCGCTGCGTATTTTACATGTAATAAGCACGGGATTTCCAACACCAACTACATAGGGGATCTTAAGTCGCTTCAAGAGGGAAAAAGATTCTACAATGAAACGTTATACACAGGACCAGATCATATCTCCGGCGAGTACCCAGCCCAAATTTCTAGCTTGTTTTTCATGCTCTCTACATGCTTAGTATTATTATACATACAGTCTTCCGTTGCGTATTTTGTATGTATTTAGCACGAATTTTTAACATCTAGCAGGTTTAGCTATAGATGCCTCAGCAGTTCCCTACGAACCCAGAGTCAGCCTTACTGCCCTCTCATCATCTTTGGGCATCGGCGGCACGGGAGAGATATCGATTACTCGTAAAACAAAGTTATCAACCAAGTCCTCCATCTTGTGAGAGTCGGTATACGCTCCGATCCTCTATAGTACTTTCATCTCAGTGCTTGACAGAGGCCCCGCCATCAAAGCCTCCCTCACAATCTCGGTCCAATTCGAACAACCAAAGTTAGAGTCATCCCTCGAAACCCAGACAAACTTCTCCTTCCAGTCCTTGTTCGACTCATGAGGGTTGATGATAATATTGAATCTTCCCACCACTTTAATAGTAAAATGGGCCTCACATTGGTGCCCCTTGATGATGCCCAGGTGACCAAGCACATTCAGGGACGGTTCGACCCTTAATTGATGACAAATGATAACAAACCTAACTACAATAGCAATTGAGTTTAGTTTCATCTGCATCGGAGAAACCTACAAAGCTATAAAAATGCAGTGAAGGAAGGGGTGTAGGGGTAGATGCCGACCACACTCAAGATGTTTTATGTACATCAGAGCTCGATTCGTGTCGTGGTCAGAAACTGTCTGCGCCTTCGTCGACGCCATCAGCCTATATGACCAAGGGATATCAAACCTCTTGCATAACGACCTCAGTTGTGGCAGCGTCACCTTTGAGTGAAGCATCAACAATTGACCCCGACGAGCGTTAAGTGCGGAAGATGTCATCGGAATATTAGAAGATCGCCAGAAGAAGAAGAAGATCAAAGTTCTCTTTTCAAAACAAATAAATCTCTCTCTTCACAGCTACTGTACTTATAGACAGGTGGATCGATAGATGTCAACATCCCAATGACTAGATCAATTTTAGGCCAACGACTGAGATTAACTCTGGAATTCGAAATGACCTCTTTAAAATTGAGGCAAGGCATGCCTGCCTTAGGTAGCCCACAATCAGGCATGAAAGGAGAGGTGACGGTAGCCAAGAGATCCTATGACATAAGTCATGTTACCTCTGAAGGCCATTTTAGTCACCCCTCATTAATGCACCTCATGACTTAGCAAACCCGCAGTCTCATTTCACTCGGACCTGACCTATGCCGACTCTAACTGAAAGGGGCTAACTGTTATAACTCCTAAAATCACTAAAATCTCTACAGAGAAGTCAACACATGACTTACACTCTGCCTAATCAGACTAATTTGAGACCTAGATAACCCACAGCGACTCGACTCA